AAGCCAACTCGTTTGAAAAAGTCATTTTACAAAATTACGTGAACAAGTGTTGGATATTTCATTTAACAATGACCATTGGCTTTTATGTGATTTGTWTAGGTCTTGTTCTAGGACCAGTTATTTTATCACAACCATTGCCAACTTTCGCGAAGTATCCTTTCAAAGTGGATTCACATCCGATGTACGAGATAGTTTACTTTCAGCAAGCATTTATTGGAACACTAKCAGCTGTCGGTGGTACCATTGATTGTCAAAATGCGGTTTTATTGTGGTTTGCTTCAGCGAGATTTGAAATCTTGTCTATCGAATTAACAAAACTTATTGATCTYGATAATATAAATTATTACATAAATRAACATTTAAAATTACTCARGTAATTAATATTCCGATTATTTTAATTTAACTTATTGTCTTAATAAAAAACAATTAAGATTAATAATTAAATATTATTTRTCCTTTATATTTTTTTAGATATTCACAGGATGTTGTGTTAAGTGTGCGTTACATTATTTTGATCACCAATTGTATTACATCTTTGATAATGATATTCGGTGCATTGCAAATTCTTTTTGTTAGTTGTCAAAAATTTATTTCTATTTTATTATTTGATAAAATTAATTTTTAATCAATATTTTTTTCAATAAYAGGCAAAATCAACAACCATAAGAATTCAATTCRTCATTTTCGTAATTGGTGCATCAATACAACTGTTCATATCCTCACGTCCAGCTGAACATTTATCAGAAATGGTAAACAAAATTKAATCATTATAAAATGATTTCATTAYAAARTTAATAATCATTTATATCTTTCATAAAAAGAGTTTAGCTGTTGGTCTATCGATTTATAATTCTAATTGGATTGGAAAATCTTCAAAGKTATTAAAAAATATGTGCATATTGGTCCAAAGATCCCAAAAACCTATAATCATCAAAGTCAATGGATTTTTACCWACGTTATCCCTTAAATACTACTCTTCGGTAAAATAATATTTWATAAATAAAATGATAATTATTACAAATAAAAAAAATTCTAACAAACATCATTTTACAGTTTCTGTCATCGTCGTTCTCATACTTTACAACGTTACGTGCTATAGTCACTTAAAAAATAAATTAATCATTTAATTGTTACTACTAAACTAATAGAAAAAATAAATAGTACTAAATTAATAATAATAAATTAGTAATTATAAAATTAGTAATAATAGAGTACTAAATTAATAGAGAAAAGTTTATTATAAAATAATTAATATAAATAAAATATGGAATTGAAATATTTAATCTTAAAGAAATATTATAATTTATATATTT